GTGGTGCATCATGGCGGCGCGCGCGAAATCAAGCTTCCCTCCTTTTTGCGTTTCCAGGGGCGCCTTCGCAGGCCGCCGCCCGCCTAAATGGAAAAACCACTGCAAAGCCATGCAAAATCAAGCCTTCCCCGACTTCCAGAACCACTTTCACAGGAGGACACCTGCAAAAAAATCACGCTGGCCACCCTGGGCGAGGTGCTGCTGGAGCCCACGCTCACCACATTAGGAAATTTTCTGGTGCGCTCCAACAGCCAGAGCTCCGTGCGTGGCCTCGGCCAGCTTCGCGGTCTGGAGGGCTACGCCATGACCCTGAGCGCCTTCGCCTGGAACATTGTGCGCACCTACACGCTGACGCCGGGGAGACGCTACTCCTTCGGCTGCCGGTACCGGCTGGGCACGGCCTCCAACTTGGTGATGTACGTCAGCGCGGCCGACAACGACTACGTGGGCGTCACCGGCACCTTCCTCGGCACGCCCTCGCAGGGAGTCTGGAGCACGGCGCGCCTGGACTTCTCGGTGCCGCCGGGCGGAGCGGGCGCCACGCTGACCATCACCGGGGCGGCCTCTGCGGGCCCGCTGGACTGCGAGAGCCTGGGCTGCACCTTCACCGAGCGGCGGAGTGTCGACGGGCAGCGTGGTGTGCGGCGACGTGACGAGCTCGGGCACGGTCTCCGCGCCGCAGCTCTTCGCCTCCGACACGCTCACCGTGACCAACACCTCCGACTTCTCGGACGATCTCTTCTTGACGAAGAACTGGGCGGGCTGGAGCAAGCTGCAAGTGTCCAACAACAGCGCGGCCCCCGACAGCGGCCCGGCGCTGCGGCTGCTGGGCAACCAGAGCGCGCGGGTCTTCCTGGAGCGGGACGGCGGGGCGCACCAGTGCGAGCTCATCATGATCAACGACGAGGCGCTGGTGCAGACCAAGAGCCTCTCCACGCCGCTGTCCCTGACCACGAACCAGAGGAACCCCGGCTGCCTCGTGATCGCGGGCAACACGGGCAACGTGGTCTGCAACACGAGCTTCACGAATTTGTCGGACAGCCGGGCGAAGACGGAGATGGCGGAGGCCGACGTGGCGGAGCTCCAGCAGCTCTTTGACTCCGTGGAGGCCAAGCAGTACAAGCGCCCGGACATGAACGAGGACCTGAGGCTGGGCTTCGCCTTGGACGACTTCGCAGGAACAAAGTGGAAGAATTTGACGGGCACCGCCCGGTGGAGCGACGGCACGGAGATGGTCACGCTCGACTACTCTCACCTCACCAGCGTGCTGTGGGGGGTGTGCAAGGGCTTCCAGGCCCGGCTGGACGAGGTGGAAGCCTGGCAGGCCCAGCGGGGGCCGAAGAACGAGTAAAAAAAAGCGTGATTAGCTCCTTTTTGGGGCAACAAGTAGGTGTGTGCAAGCCTCCTCGTTCTAGAGGACCCTTGCTCAAGTTCCTTTTTGGGGCAACAAAGCTGTTTTTTTAAATGGAGGCGCTGAGGGACCTGGCCGACGACTTCAACGTGCGGGACCCGCGGAAGCTGTACCGACTCGCGAGGCAGCGCGACCTCGACGTGACGCAGGCCATGGCCTTCGAGGCGCTGAAGGCCGACGTGGGCCGGCAGGTGCAGGCGCCCCGGCCGCACGCGCTGGGCAAGTCGGCTCATCGACTTCAGCCAGAACACGCGGGGGAAGACGAAGTACGGCCTGGTGGTGATGGACGTCTTCACCCGGGAGGCCGCCGTGGAACCTCTGCAGAACAAGAACGCCGAGACGGTGGGCCGGGCCACCAAGCGCGCCGCGCGGGAGCTGACGGGGGACGACGGGAACTTTGTGGTCACGACAGACCTGGGCAACGAGTTCGCCACGCTGGACCGGGAGCTGCCTGGGCCGGGGCATCCAGACGCTGAAGAAGGACCTGGCCACGAGGGTGGCGCGCAAGGGCGGGCAGTGGAGCGACCACTTCGAGCGGGCGGCCGGGGCCTACAACGCGCGGCCCCGCACGGCGCGCCCGAGGACGTGGAGAAGCAGCCGGCCACCGGCCACAGAGTTCAGGGTCCTCCAAGACAACGCCGACAAGTTCCAGCACAACAAGGAGGCGCGTGAAGGCGGTGGAGGACGCGGGCGCCTTCCGAGCGCCGACGAACGCGGCGAGGAGCTTCAACCCTCAGTACGGCGACGTGCAGCAGCTGGGGGCCGTCCATGACCGTCCGCAGCACGGAGGGGCGCGAGACCCTGCTGAAGCTGGCGCTGCCGGCGCCGCAGGGCAGCGGCAACGCGGGCCGGCTGACGAGACGGGGCAGGCCGGCGGCTGCGAGGCAGCTGGACGACTTCCTGGGGCCTCCGAGGCCCAGGACCCTCGACTAGCTTTTTTTTCAAAAACTGTTTTTTGAGGCACTCTTCAGGCCTCCTCGTTTCCAAGGACGCTTGAAGCAAGCCCCTTTTGGCGCAAAAAAAACTTTGATCACACTCAAGTTGGAATTGCCTGATCGAGCGGAAACACTAGAAAAAAAAGGTTTTGAGACATTGCGCGGGCTGGGAAATTCCCGGAGCCTGCTCAAGCCCTTTTTGGGTTAGGGTTTGGTTGATATAGGCACTGGAAGAATAGCATTTTTTCAGCGCAAAACCGTGCAAAACGAGCTATTCCTCCAGGCCCTACATAAATGTAGGCCCTGTAAGAATAGCATTTTTGTTGCGCAAAACCGTGTGAAAAAGCTATTCCTCAGGCCGTATATGAATATACACCCTGTAAGAATAGCATTTTTGTTGCGCAAAACCGTGCAAATGTCCCTTTAGGGTTTGGGGTCCTCGGCAAACCAAACGGGTTGGGCGGACCAGTATCAAGCCCAAACGGGTTGGGCGAACCAGTATCAAACCCAAACGGGTTGGGCGAACCAGTATCAAACCCCCAGCAGGTTGGGCGAACCAGTATCAAACCCCCAGCGGGTTGGGCGGACCAGTACTTTAAAAAAAAACTCTCTCTGCACTCAAAGCGGGCCTCGTGGGATTGCACCCCTTTTGCACCCCTCTTGCACCCCTCTTGCACCCCGTTTGCACCCCCCTCCCCTTTGCTCGATATTGTATGTTCTTGTTTGCTTTGTTTTGGATCGCTTGTTCACGATTGTCCACGACGCCCTTCCATTTTGCTCGATTTTGCATGTTTTTTTGTGTGATTTGGGATTGCACCCCTTTTGCACCCCTCTTGCACCCCTCTTGCACCCCTCTTGCACCCCTTTTGCACCCCCTCTTTTTTGCTCGTTTTTGCATGTTTTTTTGCTTGATTTGGGATCCCCGCCCAAAAAAAAAAACGGGTTGGGCGGAAATAGTATCAAGCCCAGACCCCGCCTGTTGGGCGGCCCAGTGTCAAGCCAAGCCCCAACCCCCCCCCAGACCCGTTGGGCGGGCCAGTATCACAAAAAAAAAGTCCAGGCCACATCACCTGTCGCACCCTCAGCATCATCTGGAGTCTGCAAAAAAAAAGAAACTTGTTGGGCGGACTGACCAACATCAAAAAAACAGAGTCGGAACCCTTTCACTCTCTCCTCGCACACTCTCCCTCCTCACTCTCCAGCTCTCTCACAATAGCAGGAAACCGCAGGCCTCCACATAAGCCGTATGATTTTGCATGGCCTGCCGGGAGCGTAGGGCTACAAAAAAAACAAGAGTAAGCCTCCGACAATGGGTTGGGCGAGCCAGTAGCAAACGGGTCGACGGGCCTCCACATCGGGGCGTATGATCTGCATGGCCTGTGGAGCGTAGCAAGGTCATGGACTGTCACAGGAAAAAAAACAAGAGTAAGCCTCCAACATGCCAGTGGGTTGGGCGAGCCAGCGAACGGGTCGAAATCACCTGAATCTCCAGCTCTCTAAAAAAAAGAGACTCCAGCATGAAGAACGCGGGCCTCCACATCGGGCATATAATCTGCATGGCCTGTCAGGAGCGTAGCAAGGTCATGGACTGTCACAGGCAAAAAAAAACAAGAGTAAGCCTCCGACATGCCGGCGGGTTGGGCGAGCCAGTGGCAAAACGGGTTGAAATCACCTGACTCTCCAGCTCTCTCAAAAAAATGGAAGAACGCGGGCCTCCACATCGGGCATATAATCTGCATGGCCTGTCATGGGCTGTCACAGGAAAAAAAAGGCGCAAAAAGTCAGCCTCCGACGTGCCAACCAGCGGTTTGGGCGAGCCAGTAGCAAAACGGGTTGAAATCACCTGACTCTCCAGCTCTCTCAAAAAAAACAAGACTCCAGCAGGAAGAACACGGGCCTCCACATAGGGCCTGTCAGGAGCGTAGCAAGGTCATGCACAGTCAAAGAAAAAAAAAAGCACAAGAGTCAGCCTCCGGCGTGCCAACGCGGGTTGAAAAAAAAGCCACCTGACTCTCCAGCTCTCTCAAAAAAAAAAAAGACCCCAGCAAGAATGCGGGCCTCCACATCGGGCGCATGATCTGCGTGGCCTGTCAGGAGCGTCATGGACTGTCACAGGAAAAAAAAAGGAAAAAAGGCACAAGAGTCAGCCTCCGGTGCGCCAACGGTTTGGGCGAGCCAGCAAACGTGTTGAAAACCACCTGACTCTCCAGCTCTCTCAAAAAATAACAAAACTCCAGCAGGAAGAACACGGGCCTCCACGTCGGGCGTACAATCTACATGGCCTGTCGGGAGCAAGGTCATGCACAGCCAAAGAAAAAAAAAGCACAAGAGTCAGCCTCCGGCGTGCCAACTCTAGATGTTGAAACAAAATAGCTGCGGCGATCCCACACAAAGGTCACAACTCCAAGTCTATCAATGGCACGCAAGTCTGTTTGGCAAACAAAAACAAATCTCAGCACGTCTTTGTCATCGTTCCACCTGTTCGAGATGCGCTGTGCGGCGCGAGGGGGTATGTTGGCCCAGCTGTACAGTGGCACAAGATGCCCAGTTCTCAGGAACGTTGGCCTAAAACGGTGGCTCGTTCGCCACATTGAGGAAAGTCTCCTCGTTCCCCTTTGCCAAAACACCCGCTTACCTCTGACTGTCTTCGGGACCAGCACCTCCTGCAGCAGCCTGTCAAGTTGCTTGCCGGACAGCTTGAGCCCCTTCACCGCATCGTGGTCGCGGAAGAACTTCCGAACATCGCCCTGTGAGCTGGCCAGGGCAGCGTTGGGGCTGAGCGGTATGGAGTCGAGGACCTCCCTGATATCCTGGAGCTGCAAGGACTCAAACAGGTGGGCGGTGCATGCCAGAACCGACTGCGTTCTCGGCTCCACCAGCGTGCTGACACTGTCTCTCAAGAACATCAGATCCACTTCCTTCAGGATGATCTCCATGGACGGGATCACATTCGCCAGCAGAAAGTCTCGCTGCTTCAGATTGTTCCGAAGCTGTCTCTCGTTGCTGTTGGGCGCCGGCCTGGCCACAAACTTGAAAGGCCACGGAATGGCCGTGAAGCTGCGCCTCATACCACCGTCAATCGCACGAAATTCAAAAGAGGCGTTGCTGGAGAAGTTCATCATGAATTGTGGTCGGAAGCGCACCGGATCCTTGTACAGCCCTCTTGCTTCCACGAAGGACGATTGATCTCGGAGATCTTTCAACATCCCACTCCTCATCTTCACTCCAGCTTCCACTTCGTTGACCGACATCGACCGACGGCCTCGTAGCTGAAGTAGCGGTATGGAGGTGCCTGAAGGGTCTGAGAACGCAGAAAACACATCGGCTTTGGGCTCGACGTGGTACTCGCCGCAGAAGGTACGAAAGAGGGCATTCATCAAGCCCTTTCCGTTCTGACCTTCGCCCTGGTGGAACCTGGCTTCCTCAAAGTTTTCAGGCGCAGCTTTGACTCTGGCCATACCTTTCAACACGTGGAAGGTCGTGGGCGGGTCCTCGTGGCAGCTTGCCATGATCTCGTAGAAAGGGAGGATCGAAGCTACCCGGTCAAGGTCACGCTCTAGCTCCGGGCTGTACCGAAAGCCCTCAGAGCGCCAGGCAGGGCGTCGGCTCCTCCACGTGCGTCGCAGCGAACATCTCTTGAGTTTTGACCCTGGTGAGGATCTCCACAAGGTTGAGCGTCATCTTGGCCTCAAGCTCAGCAATGAGGGCGCCGGGGTATGGCCGGTCCGCGTTCCAAGTGACCGGAATTCCCGGGCGCATGGGTTTCAAGGTGTAGTCCCTGGTGTCTTGGAAGGTGCCGTCATTGTATGCGAAGATGTGGCGAGTGTCGTCGCCGTCAAGACTCAAGTGCCAAGACATGTCGAAGAGCCCTCCGTTCATGCGCTGCAGGAGGATGCATCTGATGCACCACCACTGGTAAGTCGCCCTTGTAGCGGCCAATGGCATTGATGAGCACGTCTCTCACTATGTCCTCAAGCGCGCTGGCAGAAGCTGCAGCCTGGTCTCTCCAGCATCCATCCACGAAGAACATGAGACACATCTTGTCCTCCCGCACGGGCACTGCCTTGAACACCTCCTTCACCATGTAGCCCGAGGCCAGTCGGTGGTACGGCACGACGTCGGCCAAGAGCTTCGGGAAGTTCTTCTGCCCATGCAAACATCTTCTGCGGATCTCCATACATTTCTCCTGCAAAGTCACCCGTCAGAAAAAAAAAAAGTGTCAACCATATGTGTGCGCACGTGTCCTGCTGGAGCTCCCAACGCTCGTCAACCTCATCCCATGACAGAGAAGGGAACCGCTGCCGAAGTGCCTCCACTGCCGTTTCAACGCTCCATGGTCCAGTGCCCTTGACCGGCACGATGGCGTTGGCCCTTGCAAGGAGCTCAGAATGCTGGGAGGGCATGGCAAGGCAGTAGATGCCGTCGTGCTCGTAGCTGTTCACCAGCCCAAAGGCAGACGAGAGCTCGGCCAAGAGGTCCGTGTTCTTCCGCTCGTACTCCTCGTTCAGCACGCTCTGCAAAGTGCCAGGGGGCAGCTGTCGCGCCAGCTCCGGGTGGTTTGCTACGTCTTTGCCCAACAGCACCGACTGCTCGGCTTGGAACTCCAGTACGAACTTCGGCATGTCCTGGAGCGTCTTGTTCGCCTTGTGAAGAACGCGGCGGATCAACGGCTCCCCGCCGATATTCATCAGCCTCGGAACAGCTCCTTGGCAAGGTCGCGGTCGTCCAAGAAGGCCTCGCATTCGGTCCTGTTCTCGATGTAGTGGCGAAGCTTCGGGGTGTCCTCGGGCGCATGTCTGCTTCGCTGTGCGTAGCAGTGGCACATCGACTGGTCGACGTCCAGCCCCTCTGGCGCACGGAGCGCGTTCCTGACCTCCCTCGGAAGGGTGAAGAGCCCTCTGGTCACATCCCAGCAGCTCGCGCCGACCCGCTCCATGATGTCCTCCACATCTTTTTGCAGCTCCTTCGGCAGCTGGCCCACATCAGATACTCCGCTGTACCTCCGCCCCTTCCTTCCGACCCTTGTGCAGGGCGGTCCGTCACGCCACACAACAGGCATCTCATTGGAGCTATCAAGACGTTTCAACACAATGAAGAGCTCTCGCCGCAGGGTGCGCGGGTTGTCTGGCAAACGCAGCTCATCGGTTGCCCGCAACCTGCAAAGCTGCCGCAACGCCTCCACATTCACGGCCTCGCGAATCACCAGTGGGGCGGGCTCAGTAGATGGCGGTGACCTGCAAATGGTTACGAAGGTGTGAGCGGAACACATGAAAAAAAAAAGTGCCTGGAACTCTTCTGCTTCTTCCTCACCGGGCTCATGCCAGATGTCATCCTAAGATCCATACAAGTCCATACAACTGCAAGCACAATCTTCACTCGAACTTGGATTCTGGCCGATCAAAGGGGGCCGACCAAATGGGGGGCCGAGCAGGTTTCCCCGCCAAAATAGCTTCCGCGGCATGGACAATCGTGAACAAGCACTCCCAGGTCATGCAAAAAAACATGCAAAATTGATCAAAAAGAGGGGGGCGCAAAAGGGGTGCAAGAGGGGTGCAAAAGGGGTGCAACAGGGGTGCAAAAGGGGTGCAATCTCAAAACATACAAAAACATGCAAAATCGGGCAAAAAAAGGGAGGGAGTGTGGACAGTCGTCAACAAGCGCTCCCAGATCATGTAAAAAAAACTAGCAAAAAGTCAACCGGCTGAAGGGTGCAAAAGGGGTGCAAGAGGGGTGCAAAAGGGGTGCAACAGGGTGCAAAAGGGGCGCAATCTCAAAACATACAAAAACATGCAAAATCGGGCAAAAAAAAGGGAGGGAGTGTGGACAGTCATCAACAAGCGCTCCCAGATCATGTAAAAAAAACTAGCAAAAAGTTAACCGGCTGAAGGGTGCCAAAGGGGTGCAAGAGGGGTGCAAAAGGGGTGCCAACAGGGGTGCAAAGGGGTGCAATCTCAAATCATACAAAAAAACATGCAAAATCAGGCAAAAAAAAAAGGGAGGGAGTGTGGACAGTCGTCAACAAGCACTCCCAGATCATGCAACAGGGGTGCAAAAGGGGTGCAATCTCAAAACATACAAAAACATGCAAAATCGGGCAAAAAAAAGGGAGGGAGTGTGGACAGTCGTCAACAAGCGCTCCCAGATCATGTAAAAAAAACTAGCAAAAAGTCAACCGGCTGAAGGGTGCAAGAGGGGTGCAAGAGGGGTGCAAAAGGGGTGCAACAGGGGTGCAAAAGGGGTGCTATCTCAAAACATACAAAAACATGCAAAATCGGGCAAAAAAAAGGGAGGGAGTGTGGACAGTCGTCAACAAGCAATCCCACAAATCACGAAGAACATGTAAAATCGAGCAAAGAGAAGTTCAAAACATGGCGCAAACACCCTCTGGTCAGGCCCCCTCATCTTCGGCTGGCTGTTGCAAGAGGGGTGTGGAAAAAAAACGCCTCGTTTTCACGCCCTGAAGCTGGTGATGCTGGGGGGGGGGGGGGGGCGTGCCAAATGTCAATAGACGGCAAGGTGACGTCCCGTGGGGGACGCTATGCACCGAACCCTCAAGCTGTAATACCAACCACGTAGAAAGGTGTATACGGACGATGCCGTTATAGCCGAACCCGTGTAAACGTTGTAAGGGAGAAGGAATGATAATTACAACAGTGGTCCTGACAAATGCAGCGCAAGCAAAGAGTTTTCGCTCTCAATGCCGATCACGTATGTATGCAGTCACACATCAGATCTTGAACCTCAATTGTGTCTTGAGCCAAATGGCGATCAATGGAACTTGGGAAGCAACACCAACAAGGACCTCAGAACTGCTACCCAATTTCGGCACGGGGCCTGGAGGGTTTTAACATCCCCCATTTGGGTCGCATTGTTCATCATGCGGTCCAAACACCACAAAACGTTCCACTGGCCACGGCTTCAACTACGAAATCGTGTCGTGCACTCTTTTACTTGCTATCACTACACCGTTCATTCGCTGTGAAACATGCCGGGTTCGATTGTACGAAAAGTGAAACATTCATCCTCCAATCGAAGCACACATCCATATGCAGGTGTATATATAATACACTGTGGCCACTTCACTTGACCGCCAGTGAACATTCCAGCTGCCGCATTTGCGCATCGCGCAGCTGTCATCCATAAATGGGTTGGCCGCAAAAGTCCACCAGAGGCGCCTGCTTGTAATCGGTCTGCATATTTCCGGCAAAGAAACATCGGTGAGTAATCAATGCAAATCATAGCCATTCCAGATACCATGGACAATGCGTAAATAATGAAAAGATATCATCTATAAGGTAATAGTTCCATCCATGAATATCCAGAGCGTCATAGTCATCGGAATATGTAACCATGTACACACCCAATCATCTTGGACACATGAATATAAATCATGACAAAAGTCGTTCCACCGAAACAGTGTCGATGTGACGCAAGTAACAGATGGGGACTGACCCACATCGTACCGCAATCAGCATCTTCACGAAGCATACCTGTCCCCAATGGACAGCCTATGGGTACGTCGGCGGAACTCCTCGTCCAAGTTCTTCTGGGCTTCTCGTGCCCGGACACACTTCTTGTTGTAGTCCTCTGGCAACCAGTGCCCTTTCCGACGGCACCAATCCAGCAGGGGTGTGTCGCATTTGTTCGGGTCGATGGCCGAGATGATGGCGCTCACGTTGACCGTGTAACCATTCTTGCCAAGGTTTAGGCCATCCCTCTCGAATGATATATACTTACAGTTGAAAGCTAGTGCAAAACATCTGAAAATAATATCACCCACCGGGTGCACTCGGTCCTTGACCAGGAGCTTCATTTCTTCCTTGGCGACATCGAGGATTCTCGCTGCAATCCACAGCTTGTAGAATGTGTAAAGTCCCTCGCATTTGCACACCATCATACGAATATAATCTTCACGCTCCTCAACCGATCGGAAGGATCTCGACCGAACATTCTCCGACTGAGAAATTTTCTTCGCTGTTGATGGTAAGAGTATACCTTCCTGATCCTGATCGGTGATGTTGGGGTACCTCTTGAAGTCATTGTGATAAGGGCAGCCCGGCCTCCCTTCGAGTCCGGCATTCATCGTTCTCTCCTCACCACCTTCAAACATCCCCCACATCTTGGGCAGCTGGAGTGCGATAAATCCTGCCATGTACTGAGCCTCACGCGGCTCGTCAAGGCAGATCGCCATCCGTTGGGAACTTATAATGTCCCGTGACGCCAGATCGGTGTCGCGGTAATGCCAACCGCTGTCTTCTCCTTCTGACGCATAGCCGGATGTATATCCTTGCGTGTCCATGTCGTCATCTTCTCCCGGAACTTCCTCCGCTTCGTCTTCATCCTCCTGTGCTGCCGCATCGTGGTTAGCTTCTTCCTGTGCACGCCTGGCATCTCCAGAGACGTTGGGGTTTTGGTTGTCCTCCTCGTCATCGGATTTGATGTGAATGTAGTATCTTCCGATGGAGATCAGTTGTGCCTCGCACTCCAGGCATAAGCAGAAGCAGGTGGGGATCGCGGTCGCACATGATGGACATATCAGGCACCTCAGTCCTTCCCATGTATCATTACATTCAGGATGACCGACTTTTTTTGTTTTTTTATTTTATTTTTTGGGGGGGGTGGTTGAAAAATTTCGTCCCGGACCTCGTTGACCTGTGCATTGAACTCCTCCATCTTGTTGATTCGATAGAGTTCGCAGGCACGATTAACCATGTCAACTGTCAAGAGACGGCAAGGTGACGTCCCGTGGGACGCTGTGCACCGAACCCTCAAGCTTTAATACCAACCACGTAGAAAGGTGTATACGGACGATGCCGTTATAGCCGAACCCGTGTAAACGTTGTAAGGGAGACGGAATGATAGTTACAACAGTAGTCCTGACAAATGCAGCGCAAGCGAAGTGTTTTCGCTCTCAATGCCGATCACGTATGTATGCAGTCACACATCAGATCTTGAACCTCAATTGTGTCTTGAGCCAAATGGCGATCAATGGAACTTGGGAAGCAAAACCAACAAGGACCTCAGAACAGCTACCCAATTTCGGCACGGGGCCTAGAGGGTTTTAACATCCCCCATTTGGGTCGCATTGTTCATCATGCGGTCCAAACACCACAAAAACGTTCCACTGGCCACGGCTTCAGCTACGAAATCGTGTCGTGCATTCTTTTACTTGCTATCACTACACCGTTCATTCGTTGTGAAACATGCCGGGTTCGATTGTACGAAAAGTGAAACATTCATCCTCCAATCGAAGCACACATCCATATGCAGGTGTATATAATACACAATCGTCGCGTCATTTGACCACCAATGAACAATCCAGCTGCCGCATTTGCGCATCGCGCAGCTGTCATCCATAAATGGGTTGGCCGAAAGAGTCCACCAGAGGCACCTGCTCGCAATCGGTCTGCATAATTCCGGCAAAGAAACATCGGTGAGTAATCGATGCAAATCATAGCCATTCCAGATACCATGGACAATGCATAAATAATGAAAAGATATCATCTATAAGGTAATAGTTCCATCCATGAATATCCAGAGCGTCATAGTCATCGGAATATGTAAACATGTACACACCCAATCATCTTGGACCCGACACCCACTCATCTACCTCAATATCCACACCCATGAATATCCAACCATCACCATGACCCAACACCACACATGAATATAAATCTTGACATAAGTCGTTCCACCGAAACAGTGTCGATGTGACGCAAGTAACAGATGGGGACTGACCCACATCGTACCGCAATCAGCATCTTCACGAAGCATACCTGTCCCCAATGGACAGCCTATGGGTACGTCGGCGGAACTCCTCGTCCAAGTTCTTCTGGGCTTCCCGTGCCCGGACACACTTCTTGTTGTAGTCCTCTGGCAACCAGTGCCCTTTCCGAAGGCACCAATCCAGCAGGGGTGTGTCGCATTTGTTCGGGTCGACGGCCGAGATGATGGCGCTCACGTTGACCGTGTAACCATGTTTGCCAAGGTTCAGGCCATCCCTCACGAATGATATATATTTACAATTGAAAGCTAGTGCAAAACATCTGAAAATAATATCACCCACCGGGTGCACTCGGTCCTTGACCAGGAGCTTCATTTCTTCCTTGGTGACATCGAGGATTCTCGCTGCAATCCACAGCTTGTAGAATGTGTAAAGTCCCTCGCATTTGCACACCATCATACGAATATATTCGTCCCGCTCCTCAACCGATCGGAAGGCTCTTGTCCGAAC